TCCCAGTGGCTTCCCTGTGGCTCACCTGCCCCTCTGGACACCAGCCGACCTCCCAGTGGCTTCCCTGTAGCTCGCCCGCCCCTCTGGATACCAGCCGGCCTCTCAGTGGCTCCTCTGTGGCTCAGGCTCATCCCAAACCTTGGAACACCCAAGGCTGGAAAAGCATTTCCCTCCTACCACCACCCCCACCCAGCTCAGGTGGCTTTTGCAGCCCTCGTCACCTTGACTGGTCGGGGGCAGCAAGGCAGGCCCTGGATGTGGCACTGAGCCACGCTGTTGGCATGGGGAGGACCAAGCCCCACTCCCAGGGCCAGGCTGTGAGCGGCCAACCGTGGGAAGCTTGCCGAGGAGTTGAACTGTTCATTGGGAGGCCACGCAGGCTGGTGGGGCCGAGGGAGGTGCTGGGGCTGGGCCAGGCCTGGGGCTGGAGCAGCAGGTGGTGGGTCAGGTGCCACGTTGTTGGAAGGGAAGTCGGGGCAGTGGCTGATGCAGCCTCAGGGCCTGTTTTCCTCCAAGCTGGCGGCCCCTGGGTCCCTCGGACATCACCCCTGTGCTGTTCCAAGCAAAGATTGCTCCGGTGCAGTGGCTCTGGCCTTGCCTGGGCCTGCAATCTGCCTGGGGGCTCTTGAAACCCAGACAGGCTGAGCCAGGCCCACTGGGGCTCTGGGGTCAGCAGATTGTTCTAAGCTTCCCAGATGACCCCAGTGTGCGGCCAGGGCTGAGCACCCCTGTCCTGAGGCTGCTGAGCTGGCGGTGGTGCTGGGTGCCCGTCGGTGGCAGACCAGGCTGGCTGCAGTGGGGATGCCCACCCAGTGCCTCTGATGGAAGGTAGAGGGTGCTGCTATGTGGCACCCCTTCCACAGGCTCCCCAACTCATACGTTCCACACCTTTCTATACCCCACATCTGTCTTTCAAGGCATTGGTCAGCTCCAGGAAGACTTGTCTGTCTGACCCCATGTGGCATTTCGCTATTCCTCAGCATTCATCCCTACCGGTGCCAGGGTGCTCTGCTGTGGGCGGCTGCCTGTGTGCAGGACGAGGCTGCTCAGGGAATGGCTGCTCCTACCAGCCCCAAGAGGGAGGGGTCCAACAGTGGCTGCTGACCCCCACAGCACACAGGGTCACCGCTGACCGTCCCCAGCGCATAGGGTCACTGCTGACTGCCCCCGGTGCACAGGGTCACCACTCACCCTCCCCAGCACACACAGTCACTGCTGTGTCACATGTCCCTGTCAACACCTGGGCTTCTTGGCTCTCACGAGGCCTCCCTCCTGGAGCCCCATGTGGTCGCTCTGTTTGTTGCATTTCTCTGACAGGTGGGCATCCCCCAGAGCTGGAGGAACAGGGACTCTTGGGGGCCGCCCAGAAAATTCCCCATGTCCAATCTGAAGTCTATTTTGCTCAGATTAGATTCTTTACTTCTAAAGAACAGAAACAATAAAAAACAATAAAGACTAGAAATCAGGCTTCCAAACATTGTGCCTCGGCCAGGCCCTCTCCGTTTCACTGTGGTTCCCAGCCGTGGCATTGCCAGCCTGCCCATCCTCTGCCATCAGTGGGCCAGCAGATGCTTGCCGAGGAGGCTTGCCCTGCTGCCAGGAGGCACAGAGACGGGCAGAAGGGAGGGCTGTTGCCAGGGCACAGTCCGGCCCCTCATCAGTGTGGTGCAGAGTATGGTGCCCACAAACAGGCTGGAAGCCCCGTGCTCCAGTCTGATGAGAACAGGCCAAAAGCTACCACTGTGTCCCCGATCTTGCTGGCATTCCCAGTCTCTCAGGCGCTTAATTCAAGGATTTCCTTCCTCCCTTCACCCCTAGACACAGGCACAGAGGCACCCAGAGACGCGAGGCGGTCATGCTCTGGGACTAGCCCTCTGCTGAGCCACACACTCTGCCTGTGTATTTTAATCAAATGCTGGGGACAAAGTCTGAGTTCAGGTCACAAGACAAATGTATTCTGCAAGCTCAACTGTCGGGTTTGCTGCTCTGCTGCTTCAAACTCAAAAAGAGGAGCTGATTCCTTTTTCCAAGGGGAGGGACTTCAAGGGAGCCTTTTCCTAGTTGTAGCGAAAATCAGTTGTTTTCAAATAGCTGGTGAGCCCTTTATGTTATTTTTCTGAAATATATCACACATATAGAAAGAGACATAAAGCATAGCGTCTGGCCCAGCGAATGTGCGAGTGAGGTGTGACTGAGGGTGGCCGTCCAATGAGGAAGATGTGGCTTTTGCAGGTGGGACAGGACCAAGCTTGCAGCCGTGTGGGCATGTCCAGGGCGTGTCCAGGTGTGGCAGGCATGCCAGGCACTGCAGGGACCTGCTCAGGCGCCTCCAGGTGTGGGCGTGTGCACCGGGGGATAGCTAGGACACCTGTGGCAGGGCCTCTTCACGCCAGGGCTGCCGTGTGCTGGTGCCTGGCTCTGCCGCGGGGTCTGCAGCCGCCCACTCCTGGGACCCCGTGGGGACTGTGCCAGGGCACGTCTTCAGTTTCAGGTCCACCCGAGGGTTTCCCAGTCTTTGCCAACTTTGTGGTCACTCAGTTTTCCATTCTGCTGTCTGCAGGGCCTCCGCTGGTCCTGTCCTCAGGGTCCATGTGGAGCCCAGGACCCTCCCACCCGAAGCTGTGACTCGGCAATTGCTCCTCAGTGCCGGCGACACCCACCACGTCTCCCTGATTGGACGGTCGCCCTCAGTCACACCTCACTCGAACATTCGCTGGGCCAGATGCTGCGATTCCACGGGCTGTGGGCCCAGCGCTCCTTAGAGGTGCCTGCGGACTGGGACAGGGACTTTGGAAACCATCAGAGGTGGACGGCGAGGAGCTGGAAGGAGCCAGCGCAGAGGGCAGAGCCGGGAGGAAGGTGGCCCTTAGGAATCTGTGGTTTCTGTGCACAGGGTCCCTTTTTCTCTTGGACACGTGGTAAGATTCAGCCCAATCTCAGTTGTGCTGAGGGAACGGAGGGCGGGATGTACATCCTGGCTTGGGCAAGAACAGCCAGACCCAACCGCAACTAACCTCCCAGGGATTCAGAGGTGCAGCGCTGTGGGGCAGGTGCGTTGCCAACAGGCCAATTCTGGAGTAGCTGGAAGGCGGCGCTGCCCGGGGATCAGCCCTGCGCCCAGGGGCCCTTCCCACACCTGCAGCTCTGACCTCACCGCGTGGGTCCGTTGCTCACGTCACCCTCTCTGACACCTGCTTCAACAGCAGTGGTGATGGAGGCTGCTGTTGCCTTAACCTGAACGTTACAGAATGAAAACTTTGTTCCTCTGGCTACAGAACAGCCAAGCTGTTTTCAATTCATCAATGGAGACTGATGTTTTTCATGAAGGGTTTAGAAACCGGGAACTGACTTCAATAAATGCTCTTGTAGTTCTTTCAAGATGCAAAACTGTAAACCCTCTGTTCACAATAAATATTCAACAGTCAACAGGTATTGGTTGAATAAAAGATTAATAGTTAAGAATGTAAGTGACAGAAAAATGAACAGTGGCTTATACTAAAAGTGGTATATTACTCTTGTGAAAATAAGACAAATATAAATATTTTAAATATATAACAATAGATTATTAATATAATATTTAACTATAGATACAGAAATAAGATATGAAATAAAACGGAGAAAAGCCTTCCCTGGCTGACCAACAATGCCTTCAAGAATCTTGGACCTCTGTGTCTTATTTTGTGATGCTAGATTCAGCGTGAGACATTTGTCCTCTTTGTTACAATGTGGTTGCTGCAACTCCAGCCATCATCTCTGCATTCCACAAAGGCAGAAGAGGAAGGAGAGTGAAGGACAAAAGAA